ACCGTCACCCTTTGGGATGCTTTGGAGACGCTGCAGCTCTGCTGCCTCCACAATCCTCGTCGGGGTGTGCTACCGTCCTCCTCCCAGCGACGCTTTATTTCCATCGTATGTCAATAAAGCCTCTCATTTCTGGCCAATAAATTTCCTCGACCCAAGCTTCTGCTCTTCGGTGACTTCAACTACCCTGAAATTCAGTGCTCAGAAATATTAGTGCAATCAGCCTCAAATCCAACCCAATGCTTTCAATTCGTTTACGTTTGCCATACTTTTAATCTCGCGCAGGTTGGGAATCAGCGAGGAAGAACCGCAACTCGTAAACCTAACGTTCTTTACTTTATCCTGACATCCGAACCTGACAGCTTAAAATTAATTAGATTTCTTCGTTAAATCAGCGATCACAGGCTAATGCATGCCACCTTCGGCTTCCCACTTCAAACCCGTATTGACAGTACAAAAATAATTAAACTCTACCGCAAAGTTAATACGATGCAAATAATACATAATTAAGTAATTTCCTTCCATCGTTTGAACATGAATTTGATGGGCGCTCTGCTAACGAGAACTGGGAATTATTCGCAAATAAAATACGCCAACACATTGAACAATACATGCCATCCATAAATACAAAAAAGTAATTTATCTTCACCATAGTACAATGCCAAGCTAAAGCGCTTAAATAATAAAAAAAGGCGAGCATTTCGAAAGACTCGGTTGTCTGGATCAGCGCGACTATGGGACACATATAATCATATTACATTATCACACATATTAGAGTGGGCACGGCGATCCCTCTTGGACAATGCATCCAAAGAATTCGTTCAATTTTATCGTCCAGGTTTCGCTGCTCGGTCCCCTCTTGGTGCCATCTTTCGTCGGAACGGAGACGGAAATGAACATCAGCTGCACGACTGACGATCTACCGCTGGCGACAAGTCTGGCATGCACCCTCACCGCATGGAAATGACGCAGCCGCCAACGTTGCACACTTCCTGCCAGCAGTCTCCTACGGTGCTACTGTATTGCCTTTATTTATTATCGTGTTGCTGTTGTTCTTTTTTTTCTGTCATGTTTTTCTTGTATTTTTCTCAAGCAATGCTCACCCTTGCCTTGGCCAACTTGTAGGTGGCTGGCAGTATCTTCAAATAAATAAATAAATAAAAACAAAGCATGAATACAAACATACAATCAGGGAAACCAAGCGAACCTTTTTTGTTGTATAAAACTCCCGCCAATTCTCGAAGAACCCTCAGAAAATTTAGGAAAGCGATAAATCCCCAGACGCCTGATACGGCGGTAGCCAAAATAGATGAGTCAGGTGCTTGTGTTGATAACAACCAGTGTTCCACCGTTCTTAACAAAGCATTCTGTTTCATATTGCCGCGCGCGCAGCTGGCCAAGTAGGCTGCACGCGCCTGGTATTATGCCTGTCTCTTTCACGAAAAGCCGGGGTTCGACTCCCGGGAGCGACGCACCTTTGGTGTATTCCTGCAATTTAGTGTTCTGGTAAATTCGAGAATCCTGTTCCATGTTCGAGGTCCGAATGCTCTACGCGTCGAGCCTTCTACGCCAATAATTCGAGACGCCCACGCGTGTACATAGGGGCTTCGCGCGGCGAGCCAAAGTCAGATTCGCCTCAGCGTTCGATCCTGCTGTTCCGCCGCCTTCGAGGCCTGCGACACTTTGTTGTTATCCTTTCTTCTTCTTGTTTGAGGCACAAGTACGCCTCATTAAACGTTTCGTTTCTTCAGCTATTCTTTGTTTCATTACCTCTTCATTCGTGACAATATTTACTAAAGAAAATCTTGACACACTACCCTCCATCATCAGCGCTCAGTATCCAATGACGGATCCGATTACTTTTGCTCCCACTGGTATTGTTAACATAACAAAGAAACGTTCCTCCTCAATGGGTATTGACGAAATTAATTCCATGTTCTGAAAAACACTAAAAATATCTGCAGCGCTTTGCTCTCAATGATATTCGTCCGGGCTAATTACACAGGATAGGAAAGTGGGGAGGGTCATTCCTATCTTCAAAAAGGGGACCGGTGCTCACGACATAACTACCGTCCCACTTCGCTAACTTGCGCATCATCCAAAACTATGGAACACAATATTGACTCTCACGCTGCGCGTTTCCTTGAAACTAATAATTTTATTCATACATCGCTACATGCATTCCAAAAAAGGATTCTCATGCGAAACTCAACTTGCCATACTTGCCCATGACATGCACATGAACCTCGATAACAACATACAAACCAATCTAAATTTCTTACATCTTGCAAAAACATTTGACAAGGTTCCTCATCAACGCCTAATGCTCAAACTTTCCCAACTTAACTTAGACCCGCAGATACTAACACAGATTGGTAATTTCCTGCAGGATCGGAAACAATTCGTAAACGTCAGTAATCACTAATCAAACTACGTATCTGTAACCTCCGGCGTCCCCAGGGCACCGTTTCGGGTTCCCTTCTGTTTCCTATTTACATTATTGAACTTCCCTCTTCGGTTTTCTGTAACATCCGCCTATTTGCTGACGATAGTGTTGTATATCGTAACATTACTAATATAGGTTACCAGGTATCTCTTCAAAATTATCTTAATAGTGCTCAAAACTGGTGCGATTTGCGGGAAATTTCATTAAACATTAGTAGATGCACATTAGTTTCCTTTCATCGGCGCTCTAACCCACCAACCTACAACTATTATATATATAAAACCGTAATTCTATCAGCACTAGGCTATAAAAACCTAGGTGTGCACATCGCTAGTAACATATCTTGGGAACTGCATGTTAGGCATGTCGTCTCTGAATCTAACAGATCACTCGGACAACTAAAACGTCACCTCAAACTCCCACTATTAAACATAACACTTGCCACCTATAAAGCACTAATTCACCCAAAGCTAGAGTACGCTGCCGCTATATGGGACCCATCCCAAAATCACTTCAGTCATCAAATGGAAGCAATTCAAACTCGTGCAGTCAGGTTCATTTTTTCTAGCTATTCACATGAAATAAGTTTCACCGGCCTAAATAAACGTGATCAGCTAGGTCACTTCGCCTAAAATATTTTACGCTAACACTCTTTTAGAAATTATATTACGATTTCCAGCCAAGTTCACCGTACATTATGCCATCCACACGAACTCATCGTACCGATCGTCCACTCAACGTTATGCGCACCAAAACTAGGACAGTGACCTAGACTGCTTCAATTTTCCGACGCTCAGCGAAATAATGAAATGACCATCACCGCAGCATCGTTTCCATATCTTATCCTCTTCATTTCAAAGAGGAATTGAGCGAAGTCATTCTCACCGATTCCTCATAGTCGAAAAAGAGGAAATGAAGACAACGAAAGTGTCGTTACGATGTTTTGCTTTTCACTGATTTCAGTTTAACCATGTGTACTATATTGTTCGTTTTTTTACTAATTATACAAACGCGAGTGGTTAAACCTTCTGTAATACCCTCATTGGGGGGGCCTTGAAGGTCAATTGAAATAAATAAATAAAAAATAAATTTCTAAGAACGTCTTGTTCTTAGTTGTAATTTTCAAACTACATGATTACTGGCCGTGACTTGTTAGTAGACATTTTCTGAAGACGGTGAATCCTTTCCATGGCTGCAACTTCGAACCTCAATGTTGTTTCCGGAGTCGTTGAACTACTTTTTTCATTATATATTACTCTGACTTTCTCAGATTCTACTAATCTGTTGGTTTCCAAATTACTTCGTCTACTCCTGTTTCTCAGATCAGAAACTTTCGTTTCAAGCTTTACCGTGGTCAATTCTCAACGCGCTAATTCCCATTGTGCGTCGATAATTGTTGCAGTGAAAATATCAATTTTAGGTATAGATGCTTCAGTAGCACCCAGTCTTTTATTAAGGCATTTGTTAGTTTCAGATAATTGTGATATGCAAGCGGTCATATGTTTCTAGAATTCAAATATATCCTACCATGTGATCGGATATGAATTCTTTTTGACATCCCAGCCCCTTATCAGTACACGTGAATCCCAACGGCAACGGCTGTAGCAACAATTGTTTGAGCGAAAAAAATAATCATCAGAAGTCTCGCATACTAGCATGTCAGCAAAGAGAGGTATCTGAAACATGTCTTCTTCACTGTCGCCTTGCTTCCTGGCGGGTGATCCGCGCATTTATTATATTCTAACCCTGAAGGTTGATGTGGATGTGCCATCCGGATTGCTGATTGGTCGATGAAACACTTGGTTAGAGTTCTCGTCACTGGACACTTTTGAATGACAGGCAGTTTGTTTACTGCGTGTTCTTGAAGGATGTTCGTTCAGCTTCGCAACCCTGCGCGTTCTTTTCAGCCGATAAGCTTTTGTCGGACAGCAGCAGCAGCAGCAGCAGCCAAAAGTACATGTAAGAAAAGAGTGATCTCTAAAAAATGTCTCCTCCGCTGTCGGTTTGACCGCTCATAGGTAGATGTGGTTCATGCCGGAATAAGATATATTTTATTCCACTCCATGAAGAATATGACATAGTGTGTGTTTTCACTGACATAAAATACAAAACAGATTAAATTGCATTTATTATATTTAGTGCATTTCTTTATTATCAGTGACACTGTTTTTCTTTTTTTCAAAGAGGATATCTAGAGCAGAAGTTGAAAATATAGAAACAAACACATTTACAATCCGGAATGAGTGAGTCAGTATGCTTGCCGGGTATTATATGAGAAAAATTGATGTTGCTCGCGGAGCAGATTCCCCAGCTTTCAAGATATATCTCTTAATCAATCTAGGTCGCTGAACACAACGCAATACAGACGATGAATATTCGACATGGTTCAGCACGTCAAAACCTTGTTTTTCCAGCGAAGGGGCCGACACACTTCCAGGTAGGCGTATCTTTATCGTCAGCAAGATAAAGTGACGCCATCCGTAATCTCAATACTTAGAACGTATCAGATAAGAGATAGCAAAATGTGTTGTAGTCGACGCCATGGTACAAAGGTTCCAAAACCACTTTGCATCCCAGAAAGCTTGTCGCATATCTTTCTGGCAACTTGTGGGAGAAGTAAACTGGAGCGTCCTAGGCGGCGAAAGTGAACTTACAAGTTAGACTAGATTTTGGGCGAACTACCGTGATGGCGAATATTTATCCAGACGCTTACGTACAAGGCAATGACTGGATGAAAAAGGAGAACCTCGCCGCATTGACGAAGACTATCTTTCAAAAACCTGCTGCCCAGTGTGAACAGATCCTTGACGTTGGTTGCGGGACGGGGGACTTCACAAGGGATGTGCTGTTGCCCAGTCATCATTCGTGCAGCAAGATTGTAGCTGTTGACGTATCATCAGCCATGGTAGACTACGCGAGAAGAAATCACGGACATTCGCGAATCAGCTACGAGGTCCTCGACGTAACCACGACGGACCTTTCCCTATTTCTGGACAAGCACGGAAAGTTTGACCGGATTTACTCCTTCTTCTGTTTGCACTGGATCAGAGACCAGGAGGCGGCTTTCAAAAATATTGGTAGGCTTTTGAAACAGGATGGCGAATGTCTGCTTTTGTTCTCCGCTCCATTTTTTTTGTACCGGGTATGGCTCGAGATGGCCGGAATGGAACGCTGGAAGGGCATCCTTTGTGTGAGTATGAAATTATGGTTGAAAAAATATAAAAATCGCTAACTATACATTGTCTACGGAAAATGCACATGCAGCTCCTTTTTGGATTGTGTGTAAACTTCTTTCAAACGTGACTAGTTAGCGCTTTGTATGTTTTTATTTCATTGTGAACCATCTTAAATCAAAGTATAAATGTTTAATGATATGCCCGTGAATGCAAATTGAGCTGAACATGTGTCTTTTTGTTTTTCGGAACAGGACCCCAAAGACTTCTTTGCCGATATCTGGCATCGCGATCCGTTGCCAAGCCTGAGCGACCTCGAGAATTCTTTGCGGAACCTGATTATCAACTCAGGAATGACAACCCTCGCCTGCGAGGTTTGCCCAAGTGAAGCTTACTTCCGCAGCGAAGCAGAAGTTCTCGGCAAGTTTATCTCGTTCTAATTGGAAAGCTTACAAAATGTACAGAGAGGACACTTATTGCTGTGCAGAGTTACGCCACTTCGTTATTTTAGATCATTAACTGTGTATCACTAGAAAACATGCCGATGTCCAGTACGCCAGATCTCAAGTGAAGTACGGCTCCATCGTAAGCGAAAGCGTTTTTTTCGACCAACGTGAATATTTGTGCCAATCACAAGTAGAAAAGCCTCTAAAGTCTCGTAATTCAATATCCCTGCAATTCGAGAGTCTGAAGCGGTGAAACATAGCCTCGTTTTTAAAAGATATTATTGCGTGCGTTTGAGCGTTCCGAAATTTCCCTAACATCGTAATTAAAAAAAAAAAAAAAAGAAACGTCATTTTTTATTTTACTTGATGCTGAAAGCTCACACAAATTTGAGTTTTGTAGTTAGGCAATTTTCTGATTTCTCACTATAGGAGAAGTGTATGTGATTTGATATAACTAGAAAATTAAGGTGACCTGCATAAGAAGTAACATTTTTTACAGAGCTGAAGCGCTGATCGATCGGGTGCGTGCGATTCTTCGATGCGTCTGTTTCATTAAAAAAGTTATGTAGCACACTGAGGCTAAGAGAATTCCCCTTCGTCGCTTGGTACTTTGTTCTGCGTTTTCTAGTCGTTTTCTGTTAAGACGGCAATTTACAGTTGTGGCGAAACGGTCTTGATGGACGCTTGGATCGCCGGGCTTGTCCTTCGTTGCTTGAGAAAGCCTTTTGTGTAGTGCATTTTCCAGTCGATCTTCCTTTCACTAGGCGTGAATGGTGATATTCACAGCCGATAGCAACCTTATCTATACAATTGCACTTGTCTAATACTCTTCACTGCTAAGATGTCAGACACGGGTCTATCAGGCGTCTGGAATTCTCGGAACAAGTCTCTGGCAGAGGCAGTAACACCTGTGTCTGAGCGACTCAACTGGGGACTGCTCCTTGCATGATTATAAGTCGGGAATATACTTAAATTATTTCGAGAAGTTCGCGATATATTTATGCTCTGTCATGCGTAGGGTTTAACGTTTCAAAAAGACTGCGGGATCAAAATTAACCATTGGGCTAGTTGGATATACATTGTTAAAATAAAAAAAAAAGCCCAAATGCCAAGGAAAAGAAGAGAGGACAGGACAGGGCGCTCTGCCACTCTTCCTTTCCTTGGTGTTTGCGCTTTTTATTTTTAACAAGACTACGGGATGTCGCGTCCCCTAAAGGCGGGAGTGCAGTGTGTCACCCGGAACGTCGGAGGGGAATTGTGTTGACCTCAGCTTGCAACAAATTTTGCAGAAAAATGAGTTAGGCGTCTTTGATATTACCGCGCGCCATGCAAAGAAGCGTTTAAGCTCATATTGGCCGTGATAGTACAAAGTGTTTCTCCAAACGCAAGTCATATCATTCCTGGGAAAAGTACGCTTCTCAGTGAAAAAGGTAGACGCCGCATTGGCGTCTGCCCAATGGCCTATTCTGAAAAATGAATAACATTCGGTTTAAATAGGTGATTAACTAATTTCAGGTAATTAACATTATAATTACAATATTTTCATAAATCGTTTTAATAACAAATTCTCTAGGTGTCAGCAAAAATAACACTAACTCACAGTTGTTTGTTTTAAATATTTCATATCGTTGTAGTACATGGAGTTTTTGACATCTCTGACAGTGGAAACAATTAGAAATATGCCGATGATTGTCCATGCCAGACACTCAGTTTACTGAAGAACATCGAATAATGCCGGAATACAGTTAACCAGAGTGCATTCATTTTGTTCTGTGGAATACTGCTGGACTTCGAAATAGGGAATGAGATGTATTTCACACGAGGATACTGTTTCCTTTTTTTTTTGTGGCTCCTCGTCTCTTCTGCAATAATATACAATAGACATGTGCAAGGAATCCCTACTTTTTTACAGCGCACCCAATCTGATTTAGGTAAGTTTCATTTTGGTAAATATGGTATATTGTGTTCGTCTGATAAAGCATATTGTGACACTTTACAATATCATCGCCTGCGTATTTAACTTGTATTAAAGCGAGTTTGAGGAGCAAAGAAACCCTGGCAAAGGAGTGCAGTAGTTATAAATAAAGGAGTGAATATAGGAAGCAAAATTGGGATGAATGTTCCCTTCTCGGGTAAGGGTGCAGTATGTTTCACCGCTTCGAGTGCACAACCTAAATAGCTAGATTATTATTACAATGGCTGCGATCTGGAAACCAGTTGATCGCAGTGCTTCCGATGACTTCTGATGGTAACAAAATGTAGAGTTTTAATTTGGAAAGAAAAAAACACGCAGCCGAGACGGTCTCAAATTGTTCCAACTCAAAGGAGGGTAATGGACAGAAAAAAAGTCGTCACTATCAAACACAACCATATAGAGTGCGGTTTGAATGATGCAATCAAGAACGAATATTTTTGCTGTATTAATAACGACCAAGTGTTTTACTACCGCTGTTTACATTTCATGCAGCGTTGGTTCTTCCGGTCGTTACGGTGAAGGCGGGCACAACAGAGAAGGAGACGTCGATCATGAGAAGCGAACTGTCGTCAAGGCTGATGGAGAGCTTCAAGATTACGCCCACGGGTTGTAGCGTCTCCGTTAATCTCTTTCGTTTTTACACTAGAAGGTAAACCGAGAGGCACATACAGACATGGAAAGCAACGTGAAGTATTATAAAGTACCTTTGGAGACTTTAGAGGTCAATGTCAGGACAGGCGCTGTCACTGACCGGCCCGTAAGGCTCAGCCCAACCAGTTAGTTATCTTCGAATCTAGAGCACGTTCTATAGCAAAGCCGAGAACATGGCTGTTAGCCTTTAGGCGCTACATGGCGTCTGTACTCACACGTATCTTTAGAACAAACTTTATTTCATGATGATTCCAATTGTAATATATGAAGTGTTGCCATACCAGCAGAGGCACGCACTGACGCATGGCGTGTAGGATGTATACATACTATAGAAGCCTCGTAACGTTTAACGCGGCAATAATTGTGTCCAGTATGGAAAGGGAAAAAAAAAACAGGACAGTTCTCGACCAGGGTTCAAGATTGCAAGTCAAGTCCACGTAATCCTCATTTCTTCCGACGGGCTTGTTCAACATCGTATGTGGACGTCACTGCGTGTGTACTAACAAAATAAAACATGATTAAAACTTACAAAAACACTTTTTCCATGCTATGAGAGGGTTGCATGAACTTATTGAAAGATTTTGTAGGGAAATCGACGATATTTGAGAGCCCCGGGTTCTCATTCCACGATCCGGCCTTAGGCCCGCGTGCGCAAGTCTGAAGCCGCCTGGCTGCCGACCGGCAGCCATTCCGGTGGTCTACTCTCACCACTCCTTTGCCCATCTTCCTCCCGTACGAGGTGGACAAAGGGAAATTTCCTCTGGCGGGGTCGCCTCTCGGGGTGCGAGGCTGAAGCCGTCAGCGAGGGAGAGAGAGCACGTCCTCAGGACTTTCTCAGGGGACTGTTCGGCCCGACTTGAAACTGTTGGTACATGCGGTCTCGCACTCTGCTGACCCACCTGCCATCAGGCGAAAGTACGACGGAGTAAGGACAATCGCCACCTTGTCGTTACTAAAGTGACTCTGTCTGTATCTAACCGAAGTCAAGACACCCCCGAGTGCCCCCCTCTTCTGCGTGCCCGTCGATCACTCTCTCCGTGAGTTCCTGTTAGCGGGTGCAGCCAGCAATCGAACCCGCCATAGCGACGAATCTGATTGTCTGCGGGGTGGTGGTTTCGCGGTAGTACTCCTCTTCACACGCCTCGCACCCCTTTGAGGCATCCACAACCTCTAACCTTAAAAATAACGGTAACAGAACCAGAACTTTGCTTATTTCGTACGCTCATGTTCCCAACTTAAAAGATAATTAAGGACGCATTTTTGAAAGGGTAGGACTTTTACGCATGCCGTGCTTCGAAGCTGTTCTTATCGAATCGTCCTACAAAGCTGTCGTCTTTTTACTTTATTACAATAATGAAAAACATTATACCGTATGTTCACGGCAGTTTACGTTCCGAAGGCTTCAGTCGAGCAGTAAATCGTTCCGGAACACATAGAACACACATTGAACCATCAATACCACACATCTGCGTGTCAGAAAAGAAATGTCTAATAAAATGAAGAGTGTGGCATCGCCAAATAACGGGCGTACTTGCCGTCAATCTAGACATTAAAGGGATACTAACACAGCCAAAAGATTTTTTTTTGCCAGGCAATTTATTATGGTTGTCGGCAGTCTACCCAATTAATATTTTGCGACAGGTTACGCATATTTTTAATAAGGCCAAAAAAACGCCACTGCACGAATCCAAAACCAAAACCTGCGAACGGAGGCCGGAGAACTGGAGAGGAGAGAGTGAGTGGCGGAAGTCACGTGGCTACACCCAACCGTGCGCTTTTCTTTTTCCCCTCCGTTTTTTTTCTCTCTTTTTTTTCTTTTTTCTTTTTGCGCGGAGCAGAGGACGTGTGTGGCGGGGAACCGTTTGCCGTGCAATTCCTTTGCAGTTATCTTTGTTCCGCTCGCTGTTCTGTACTTCAAGATGAGTTGTTTTGTGCATTCTAGATTTGGAGATGAGCAGTGAGTGCCCGTGGTGAATTTCTTTGATCGACTCCGGAAAGAAAGCCCCCAAGACGTTGCGTGAAAAGCTGCCTCACATGTTATGCGTCCGAAAATAGTGGCATTGCGCGGCAGAGTCTCCATGTGTCCGAATGACCAATGGGATCGGGGCCAATGGCTGGCTGCAGTTCCGGCAGAACATTTACGGGCACCTCGGAAAGCGGACGTTACACGATTTATATGTTCCTTGTATTTTGTGGTATATTGAGTTCGCAAGTATCATAAAGAAACCCCATGACATTTAGTTCCGCGAAGTTTCGTCAAATATTTTTTTTTTCAGTTATAATTGTAAAAGACGAAATGTAAATAACGCAATATTAAAAAAAAAAAAAAAAAACCATACGCCCACATTTAGGATTGAACCCCGTTTCGCCGCGTGTGAAGAGGACATCTTTCCACTGAACTACTGGGGAAACACTTCCATTAGTAATAATTAGAGCCCTGCGCGGATAACAGTTTGAGTATCCGTATCCGAACCGCATCTGCATACTTTGTATCCCTATCCGAACCGCATCCGCAAAATGTGGAACCATGTCGATGTTCTTACTAACCACCAGAGGTTACGATTACATTTAGACTAGCAAAATCAGCGTAAATCACGCCGACCGCGTTCTTCCCCGCCGCATGCGGAATCGGAAATTTGCACCTGTGGCCCCTTAGCTCTCACCTGAAGTCTAAACACCTGAAAAAAAAGGTAATAAAAAATAAAAATAAAAAAAAAATTTGGGAGGAGAGGAAGAGAAGCAGTGCTAGGAAGACAAAATCTTTTCTGTGATGTTACCGAGCGTATGCGGCCGCCTCGAGGGTCATGACGTTTCGTGTCAGCCCGCCGGCAGATGCGCCGCTGAGTCGAAGTCCAAGGCCTGAGCGGATCAACTAACGTCTTAGCTATAGAACTCTAAGCACACAAAGAAGAAATAGGCAATTTACGGGCTGCCTATGTGTGTGCGCCGCTGATTCCGAAACTTGCAAACCGTGGCGCCACAGGGTCGCGCTCGCTGTCGAAGCACTTCTGTTTTTGGTATTATAACCACACAACTCTCTGCGGAGAGGGGGAGGTTTCTTCTACTTCCTTGTGACTTGTTCGTTTGAGGTTTCCTTTGTCCAGAGAACGTTTTCCGCTCTTTTCCTGCCAAAGAACTAGCTTTCTCGGGACGATTGATGCCCTGCATTCTTTACTTTTTTTTTTTCTATAGATAGGATTTTTGACGAGATGAAATGCATTAACTGAAGCGGTCTTCAGTAAGAATCAGATCTTTCTCAGGACCCATATCGTTTCTTCGAAACGCGTTTTGTGGAAATACGTTGCGTAGACAACTTTTCACTGAAATACATTTCATGAACACACGGTTCGTCGACGCTGTACGTTTAGTGGGCACATGCCCCTGCGACGTTTTGTCGACAACGTACTTCTTCACTAAGCCGCTAAAAGCTAGCGCGCGATTCACTAAGGCGTGCTTAACCAAACCATGTCCTCGTCCCTCGTGTAATCCAGGCGAGACGCAAAAATTAGTTACGAAAATAGCTGGGTTGTGAACGACGAAACGTCTCAGGTTTTTAATGAAACGAACACAAGACGCCTTTCGATCAGACGTCGCATGTCGACGAAACGATCTGTAGATGAAACGTCAGTCGACGGACTGAATGCCACCGGGCAAAAATTTAGATCCGGATCCGCGGATGTCCACATCATGAGCCCCTTACATCCTCCCCCATCCGCCAAAATTTGTCTAATATTTATCCGTATCCACCAGTTTACTGCGGATATCTTCGGATATCCGCGGATAACCCGCGGATATGCAGGGCTCTAGTAATAATACAACCGGTCAACTGTAGATTGGAAAGTTTGCTGGCCACTTTCCCCCAGGAAAGCCCTCCCGGGTCAAAGTCGGGCCGCACCACGGATTTGCCATATTTGCACCTGCTAAGGCAGGTCATATTTGCCCTATTTGCCATATTCGCAACTGCAATGAGAGGAGATCCCACTTTGTTCTTGACCTGCAATGGCAGGTCAAGAACAAAGTGGAATCTCCTCCCACCCCTTTCCACTTCAGCGGAATGATTGGTGGAGAGGAGGTCGCATCCTCTCGAACGTTCGCTCTTCTAAAGTGGAAAGAGGTGGTAGGAGCTTCCACTTCATTCTTGACCTGTCACCGACTACAGTAAAGAAATCGTGGGCTTGCATATTCAACTCGAGGTACGCACTTCGTGCTTGACGTGCGCACGAGCGATGTATTTAGAAACGAGAAGGGGGCGCGGGTCGGCGACGTCTTCGTGCAGATCGGCTGGATTCGGGATGAATACCAATTCTTTTTATCAGTCCGAAATTTCTCTTTCGAAGAAAAACAGAATTCGCCGGTACCTCGAACGACAGTTCTGAAGTAGAGGTTCCACGCCTGTCGTCCACTGCCATCGCCTTCCCCGCGAGCCCCACGATACGTGAAATGACGCTATCTTGAGAATTACGCAATTAACGCACAAAATGCTTCCAACTCCCTGTGCAACTTTTTTTTTTTTTTTTTTAAATCAGCGTATTTGCAGTTTTTTTGAAAACCACAAAAAAAAAAATGGGTTTCATGTTTTTTTTTTTTTTTTTTAATATCGAGTGTCTGTCTTCAATGACCAACAACTTTGTTTCAACTTGCTGGTTGTTTCTAAACCTTACAAAACGGCCCGTTACTACGGAAAAGAGACTGAGAGGGACTCAAACCGGCCAGTTCTTGATCGGCGGTTTTCGGGCGAAAAGAAGCCGAACTTCGAGCCGCAAATTCTGTTCTGGGTAGTTGGGCTCTCATATCTCACGTACAACTAAAAACCTCGGCGAGCATAAATACCCTGTCAGTGTCCCTTTAAATATTCATCCAGGTGGTTGTTCTAGCATCTTAATGGCTACGTTTACATGAATGCGATTGTAAGTCATCAAATCAAAAAGACACAAATCTCACGCAACCTCTCTTCCTAATTCTTCCCCTTCTATCCGTCTCTTACAAATCAACTGTCAAATCTCGATTCAAAACGCTACGGTTGCATTCGTGTAAATGCAGCCCGCATGTATGCAGCCAGTGAATAATTCTTTGTTTTACGTGCTCTCGTGTCTTCATGCGTGTGTTTGCTTGTGACCCTGCACGTGCGTGTCCGTGTGCGTGACCGTGTTTGTGCATCCATGTGTTTCTGTGCGTACCTGTATACTTCTGTGCGCGCGTTGGCGCACGGAAGCAAGTGGTATGACCGATATGAGTGGGTACCTAACAAAATTTTATATCTTGACCTCCATGCAAAGCAGAGTCAAGTTTATATCGAATTTGTGGTACAAGCATATTTTTTTTTGTATCTTTGAAAGAGCGAGCTGCGAGAATCGCGCTTTGAGAGTCAACAAACAGGTTTGTTGACTCATCTTCCAGTTGTGACGTTTTGCAGCGAGAACAGCATTTCTTAATTAATGCGTTTTGTGAACATTTTCGAAACTCATCACCCGTGATGATATTCTGTAAAATTTGAATTGATCCTGTTACACTTATGTTGGGAATAATGCTAAAGCAATTATTCATCCAA